TAAATATACATGTATATCCATACTTACATATTAATTAGCTAAGCCAGTTTTCTTTATAAGAATACATGTAGTTATGACATCTTCTTTCCCCTTAATTTATAGCATATGTTCAGCAAAAGTACACAGGCACTAAAGAATCTGCAATCAACACTGCAATGAATAATAAGTGTACTTATGCTCGTCGTAAATTTAGGTAATTGTTTAATCAAAGTAAATAATAATTAGTTATTTTTAATTACAGTGTATAAAGACTGTACTTCTTTAAAGACTCAGAGTTCAAGAACTATATTACTGTTGTATTGCTTTCTTCATTGAAACTAAATATTATAATAAAAATATATTTCAAATAATGTCATATACATATAATTTGAAGCAATTATATGCATAATATATTTCACAGTGTCCGAAAATCAGACAGTTGACATACATATGTCAACAATGTGTCAAAGTATGTTTAGCATATATATGAGACATATATTTTATTTTTACCTGGGTACTAACTGCAGTGGCAATGCACTGAATGCATTTTGAGGGTTGAAAGTTTATAAATCAGTCAAAAAGCTCAAAGATACAATAATTGGAGGTGATTTTGGAACCACTTTTCAGAAATTGCCTCAGTTTCAAAATGGCACAAACTCAATATGCATCAGAATTCAAAAAAACATTATTATTGTGACTTCAGAACCATTTTTCAGAACAAAACCTTTGCTCTTTTTTAAAAATTGGCTCGTTTTAAAAGTGCTGACAACTCAAAATTATTTGTTAGAATCAACTCAATCTTTCTACATACATATGCAGTATAAGGACATCAATATGTATCAGAAAATGTAATAAAAATTAGGGGTGATTTCGAGGCCATTTTTTGAAAATTCCATGGGCTATATAGTAAAAGGTATTTTCAGAAAATGGCTGTTTTTAAAAATGGTCATAACTCAAAAAATATTTGTCAGAATTAGCTCAAATTTTCTATATAGCATAAAGACATCAATATCTATCAAAAAATGTAATAAAGATTAGGGGTGTTTTCAGAGCCATTTTTTACAAAAAAAGCATGGGCTATAGTACACCGTATTTTTCAAAATTTGGCCTATTTCTAAAAATGCTCATAAGTGAAAAATTATTTGTCGGAAACAGTTCAAATTTTCAAAACAGCATAAGGACATCAATATGTATCAGGAAATGTAATAAAAATTGGGGGTGATTTTGGAGCCATTTTTTACAAAAAAGCATGGGCTATAGCCTTGGGTATTTTTTTAAAATTGGCCTATTTCTAAAAATGCTCATAACTCAAAAACTGCTAGTTGGAAACAGTTCAAATTTTCTACACAGCATACAGACGTTAATATATGTATCAGAAAATGTAACAAAAAATTAGAATGTGATTCTAAAGCCAATAAAATAAAATAAAATCATAAACTCACTAAATTATGATTTCCTCCTGACACCAGTTGCTGATGACTTGGTGACTAGTACTAGTGAATCCCTCCTGGGTGTGGTCTAATAGTCTCCTGGTAGACGTGGGTCCCACTGTAATATTGACCCACTACATGATATATCACCAGTCCATGACAGGGAACATCTGAGAGAGACAGTGTAATTCAATTTAATAATTTTGTAGTTTATTGACAAAAATAGACTACAAAATATTTATTACTAATTTTAATACATAAACATGTCAAATTTGTATTAAATATGTGTAATGTACATGTACATTATATTCTCATGCTGTGTAAACATAGGCGGCTGCAGGATTTGACTGCAAGTAGGGCAAAGGTGTGGCTGAAAGTGGGAGTGGTCAAAAAGTAGGTGTAGCTATAACCACACCCACATGCCTTGCTCTTGAGTTTAAGCCTGTCATGACTCCTATTTCAGCATTTTAGGAAAAATCCAGTTGAAAAAGGCTCTGAACTACTCAATGAAGAGTTACCCTGCCATTCTTATGTTCAAGAGGAGAAAATTCAGCATCTAAAAGACCTCTATCAATGACAGAGTATAAAAAGCTAGGTGATTTTGCTGTTTAATGAGTCCTAGCTGACTATGATGATTAATAATGAAGCTGCTATATAAAGGAGTCAGTTAATCTAACTGCAGGTTACTGTAGATTATGTCTTCCTGAAGTGACCATAGATTAGTCTGGCTAACCATCTGACTGGCTTACTGTAAATAAACCATGCAGTTAGCAGCTTATTCTCCACTAATTATCACTTTGTTGAGCAAAATAATGTAGTTTTTGTCATTAAAATTAGCTATAATGATGAATTAACCATAATAACTACTAAATAATGATTAATTAACTGCTAATTATGATGATGTCATTTTCCGGTAAGAAATTCTAGTAGGGCATTGCCTTCATTGCCTGCCCCTGCAGCCGCCTATGTGTGTAAAATGTTTAAGCTAATTCTCATCACTAAATTTTGGAGCTACGTGCGTACATGTACATATGTCAACAGTGAAAAATGTGCAAAATTTTGGAAATTAGAATTTGAGAAAAAAAGCAACAAAAATTTATTACTATAATTTTTATTTCCCACATGGTTACAGGGTAAGCACATTAAAAATGAAAGTGGCTTTGGCTGTTTACAAAAATATTAGGTCACAATCATAAATTTAAACTATACAGTATTTATTAAAAGACCCATTAATATTCTTACTCAGGAGGTAGCAAGCTTTCATCATCACAACTTCCCTTGTGAAAAATCCCAGCAAGATCTTATCGGGTTTTTCATGATTTCACATGATTAGACAAGAAAACATAAGATAGTAATCTTGTAAAATCTTAACACAGAAATTCTTGCAAATTCTTATTTAAGATTTGATAAGATTTGAACAGGCTGTCAGATCTTGTGAGATCTATCATAATTATAATTGGCCTCGCCTACGCGAGGTTGTTGTGTGTGTCTGTCATTACCCGAGCCCACGCGTAGGCGTGGAAGCGAGGGTAAAGCAGTTGTCCTGTATGTGTGTGTTCGCTGGCCCTCCACTTTTGAGCTGACACTGCTTTCTTGTCTAGTCCTGGAGAGTCTTATAATCAACACTGGTTCCAGAAAAAGTTATTCTCCGTCTTGGGAATGCTATATTTTTCTTTTTAGTGGAAAAAGAAGCTGGCAAAGTCCGGCGCCAAACGTAGGTCGGTTCCCCGACAACTTTTTCATAGTGTGAGCAAAAGAGCAACTGGGCAGATAAAACAATAAAGCAAAGCCTCATCTTTCAATAATATGAGTGGAATTGCTCTAATCATCTTCGTTTTAAAGATATGGTAGCCCAAAAAATCATACTTTTGTGAGTTTACACGAGGCTCTCTTCTCCCGAAGTAGCGGCCAGAGTCTTTAAACATCAGAGACTCAAAAGAAATTCGTATGCAACAAATAGAGCCTAACAAATGTATGCTAAACTGTTTAAAAGTCGAGAAAAACTAAAGCTTTCTTCACCACTTAGAGCCATGTGCCACCATTACTGTGTGTGCGGGTGGAGCATGGCTTGATTGAGCCACACCTTTACATTGCTGCAGCAGTGCAGCAAGCATGCTGGAGCTTCTTCAGTTCTTCTCTGTCTAAAAAAACAAAAAATTCACTGTTCAAAGCATTCACTAAGTTTTTACATGCTGAAGCTTCTTTTCTGTGTCAAAACTTTCAATAATTATTTTTCTCTTAATTTATTAAAATTGTTACACACAGACTGTGGCGAGGGTATGCACTTTAATGCTCTCGTTCATTCATTCTGTACAAGCGAAATTTGTCTTTAATAAATTATAACTTTAGCATAGCGTGTTCTAAGCTCCTAGATATTTCTTCTTTACCTTGAAAAGTCTTGCTTAACTGTTTTGTGTTGCTCAAATATCAGCGCTAGGTACAAGAAGCTTCAAAGTGAGAAAATCAAGTATTTGAGTCAAGTTCCGTTGTGTTGGCACTCTAGAGATAGCTGGTAGCATTTTCCAGTAGATTAGAACATGGCCTTCAAAAGGTATGAACAGATTTCTCTAAATCTTACTTGGTGAAGAGTTACAGTTGTCCTGGTTCTTGTTTGTGAAGCGCTGGAGCGACAACCTAGTGGGCTATAGGTACTAAAGTACCTATACTATCTCAAATACATGAAGGCAACAACTTTCTGTCAGCAAGTTTATCGTATATTGATGATTAGTAAAGAAAAAGTTAAGCTTCTTTCTCACATGGTCTTCTTGCTGCCATCATTGCAGTTGCAGTTGCAGTTGATGATGTAATGCCACACTTTCAATTTACATGC